AGGTGAGTTGTCCGTTTATCAATTCAAGGACGAGTATACTGCGCGGCAGTTCGTTATGTTCTAATTTATGGCTGCGAGACGTGTCCATTAAGAGTAGAAGATTTTCATAAGCTACTAGTATTTAAATACAGGTGTCTTAGAAATATCTCTAGCATCTACTCGGATCACCGCGTAAGTAATAGTGAGGTTAGATGCAGGGTATTAGGGAATAATGCTATATCAATTATTGAGGTTGTGAATCTTCATCGACTGAAATGGATGGGCTACGTGTTACCTGTGCCTAAACACCGATTACAACGACGCGCAATGCTGACTAGTGTTGGAGACGGTTGATAGAAAGTAAGGTGCGGCCAAACCAAAACGTGGCATCAGTGCTTGAAGTCACCAAATTCTCGTTTGATCCATGCTGGTATATGCAGACTACTTGGTTGGGGTCCACGTGACTATCGTAACCAATGGTTGGAAACTCATCGGTGACATGGCTCAGAATCGATCACAATGGTGTAGGTGTATACACTCTCTGTCATCCCTTAAACTAAGAGATTAAAATCGCTTCACATCTTTCTTTCTACGAACTAATTCTTTGTTTCTGTACTATATCCTTATATGCAATCTTTCTTTTATATATTACCATCATTGAATTAACTACTTTGTGAATTTGGTGTTCATCTTGTTGTGCTAATGAGGTATGGCAAATTGGACCGATGCACATTTGCGCCTAGTCCTGCATTGTAGCTGACTGGCTGACTAATTTTGTAATGTTTGCTTAGTTATAGTTAAACTATTCACACACACACACACACTGAAATAATTGGACATTTTTCATGATACTTACATTTTAATTTTTAATAATATTTTGTTTTTTCAGCCTTTAGGCAAGTATTTATAGAGGGAGAGAGAGAGGAGGAGAGGCAGAGAGAGAGAGGGAGGGAGAAAGAGGAAATTTTTTCTTATATAAATACATGTATATAGTCAGTTTATTTAGCCTTAATTTTCTTTATTGCCTTAAGTCTTATTACCATAATGTAATTTATTATTCCAATACAAATAGATACTGAAGAAATAATTGAAAGGTACAAAAATTTTTTTAGTAATTACGTAATATATGTAATATTTGTAAATGTAATTCATTCGTTAGTTTTGATATAAAGGCGAAGGATACTACTGACAAAAACTAAGTTTTCTATTCAATTTCCTTGAATCCCATTCCCTCTCCCTACCTCCCTCCCTCCCTCTCTCTCCCCCCTCTCTCTCCCTATATATATAACCATTAAGTTATGACGTAACCATTATGTTTATGATATATTAGTTTAATAAAGTGCCTATTTATTGTCAGTCATTCAATTACGAGCAGTAATTTATATAAAATTAAAACAGACAAGTCTTAGATTAAATTGGACATTCTAATGTTGTTTTGTTTTTTTTTCTAAACAAAATATTACTTACTTCGCCTGTTACTAACTCCGCCTGTAGCTCTTCGAGAGTTACTGCCAGTCCCAAGCTCGAGTGAAGGAGGAGGGTTGAGTATGGGGTTAGCGACCCCATCCAGTAGAAATTTAACTTGATAAAAAAACCTAACCAGAAAAAATAATTCAAACCATTTAAACTCTGGCCTGGGAGTTAGAAGTTCTTCATTTAAAGGAATTATGACGCCTCATGTTGAAAGCCGAGTTCCTTCGGAAGCCATGAGGCCGATGCCACTTCTAACAACCAGAGCAAAAATTTTTATAGGTACATGAAACGTCCGGACAATGTGGGAGACCGGGAAGACCAGTCAAATATCAATGGAAATGAGGAGATACAACTTGGCAGTACTGGGAATCATCGAAACTCATTGGACCCAAGCTGGACAACAAAGGCTAAATACGGGAGAGATGCTACTATACTCCGGTCATGAAGAGGAAAATGCTCCACACACTCAGGGAGTCGCTCTAATGCTTTCCAAAGTAGCACGAAATACACTTGTAGGATGCAAATCTCACGGATCCAGAATCAACAAAGCATCATTCAAAACACAGAAGGAGGGGATTTTAATGAATATTATCCAATGTTATGCACCCACCAATGATAGCAACGACGACATTCAAGATCAATTCTACGAACGGCTGCAGTCAATCATAGAGAAGTGCCCAAGAAAGGACCTCACCATTCTAATGGTAGATCTAAATGCCAAAGTCGGAATAGACAAAATCGGATATGAAGATATTATGGGACGACATGGACTGGGTGAGAGAAACGAAAATGGAGAAAGATTTGCAAATCTGTGTGCATTCAGCAAATTGGTCATAGGAGGCAAAATATTTCCGCACAAACGTATACACAAAGCTACGTGGATCTCACCGGACCACACTACAGAGAACCAGATAGATCATATCAGCATCAATAAAAATTCCGAAGGACAATGGGAGATGTGAGAACCAGGAGATGAGCTGACGTAGCTTCAGATCACCACCTATTTGTAGCCAATTTAAAACTGAAGCTAAAAAAGAACTGGACAAGTGGACAAACAGCACTACAAAGGTTCAATACAGCCTTCCTTCGAGATACTGACAAATTCAATGAATTCAAGATAGCTCTCAACAACAGGTTCAAAGCCTTACAAGATCTACTGAAAGAAGAATAAACTAGTATGGATGACAACCGGAAAGGCATCAAAGAAGCATTAACTTCAACGTGTCAAGAGGTTCTGAGCCTCAACAAGCATCATCATAAGGAATGGATCTCTATAGAAACACTGGACAAGATTAAAGAAAGGAAGAACGAGAATACAGCAATTAGCAAGAGCCGAACACGAGCGGAGAAAGTCCAAGCACAAGCTGAATACATAGAAGCAAACAAACAAGTGAAGAGGAGCATTAGAGCCGACAAGAAGAAATACGTGGAAGAACTAGCAACGACGGCAGAAAAAGCTGCTAGAGAAGGAAATATGAAACAGCTTCACAATACAACGAAGAAACTAGCAGGGAAATACAGTAAACGAGAGAGACCGGTCAAAGACAAGGAAGGCAAGCCAATCACCGAAATTTAACAACAGCGGAACAGATGGGTAGAGTACTTCGAGGAACTCCTGAGTAGGCCGGCTCGAATGAATCCACCGGACATCGAAGCAGCACACACACATCTTCCTATAGATGTCAATCCACCAACTACGGAGGAAATTAAAATGGCCGTCAGACAAATCAAGAACGGGAAAGCAGCAGGAGCACTGAAGTCAGACATCGAAGTAACTACAAACATGCTTTACCTTCTATTCAAAAAGATTTGGGAGGAGGAACAGGTGCCGATGGACTGAAAAGAGGGACACCCCATCAAGATTTCGAAGAAAGGAGATCTGAGCAAATGTGAAAACTACAGAGGCATTACACTACTGTCAGTACCATGGAAAATCTTTAACAGAGTGCTGCCGAAACGGATGAAAGACGCAGAAGACTCCCAACATTGAGATCAACAAGCTGGGTTCCGTAAGGATCGGTCGTGCGCAGACCAAATTTCGACACTACGGATCATTGTCGAACTGTACATTAACTTCATTGATTATGAAAAGGCAGTTGACAGTGTAGATAGGAGAACGTTATGGAAACTTCTCCGACACTACGGAGTTCCTGAGAAGATTGTCAATATTGTCTGGAACTCATATAACGGAATACAGTGCAGGTCGTGCATGGAGGACAGTTGACAGATGCATTCCACATAAGGACCGGAGTCAGACAAGGCTTTTTACTCTCTCCCTTCCTCTTTGCTCTGGTGGTCGACTGGATTATGAAGACCTCAACATCTGAGGGAAGACACGGAATACAATGGACTGCTCAGAATCAATTAGACGATGTAGACTTCGCAGATGACCTATCAATTTTATCGCATACTCATGAACAAATGCATCAGTAGAACTCAACATACACAAGTTGAAAACCAAGGTCCTCAAATTCAAAGCGGAAAACACCAATCCAATCACTCTTGATGGCGAAACTCTGGAAGATGTAGAATCCTTCATGTATATGGGAAGCATCATCGATGAAGAAGGAGGCTCAGATGCAGACGTAAAGGCGAGGATTACCAAAGCAAGGGCTGCATCCCTACAATTTAACAATATATGGAACTCAAAACAACTGTCAACCAATATCAATGTAAGAATCTTCAATACGAACGTCAACGCAGTCAGTTCTAATGTACGCAGCTGAAACTTGGAGAACTACTACAACCATCATCAAGAAGGTACAAGTATTAATAAATAGTTGTCTACGCAAGATGCTCAACATCCATTGGCCGGATACCATCGGCAACAGCCTTTTGTAGGAGAGAATTAACCAGGTTCCAGCTGAAGAGGAAATTAGGAAAAGACGATGGAAATGGATAGGACATACATTATGCAAATCGCCAAACTGCATCAGGAGACAAGCCCTAGCTTGTAAGCCTGAAGAAAGGCGGAAAAGAGGAAGGCCTAAGAACACATTACATCAGGAAATAAAAGCAGCTATGAGAAGGATGAATTACAACTGGAAGGAGCTGGAAAGGATTGCCCAGGACAGGGTTGGATGGCGAATGCTGGTGAGCGGCCTATGTTCCTTCACGAGGAGTAACAGGCGTAAGTAAGTAAGTAAGTGTAGACAACTATTTATAAATACTTGTACATTCTTGATGATGTTTGTTGTAGTTCTCCAAGTTTCAACTCCGTACAGTATAACTGTTTTGACATTTATATTGAGGATTTTGACTCTGATATTGATTGACAGTTGTTTTGAGTTCTATATGTTGTTCAACTGTAAGAATACTGTAATTGCTTTGCCAAACCTCACATTTAAGTCTACATCAGATATATATTGTCCATTGATGCTGCATCTGAGGTACGTACAACATTCCACCTAGTCCAGAGTTTCTCCATCAAGTGTGATTTGGCTGATGATCTTGTTTTTTTCTTCATATTTACTAAAACCTACTGATGACATCCGGCCAATAGATATTGAGTATAATATATGAAACAAGTATTTATAAATTCTTAATGGATGGTTATAGTAGTTCTCTAAATTCCTAAATACAATAATCTACCCAAATTTTCTTTTTCTTTTTTTCCGATTTATCACTTTTCACTTTCTCATTTGTTTGTTTGTTTTTCTTTCGCTGCTTTTTCTTCGCTTTTGTTTTCTTCCCTTCTCTTCAATGAAATAGATTCATTTATTTGCAAATCATATTTTAACTAAAAAGTATCATCATGATAATGATGAAAATGTAAATCGTTTACGCAACGTAATTGGTATCTTACAACATCATGATGCTGTAACTGGTACTGCTAAACAACATGTAACTAATGTTTATGCATGGCATTTATATAATGCAACAAAATCATGTCAATTAGTGATAAATAATTCCTATAGGAATCTATTGCCAATCAATCAATTCAATGTCAATAATCAATAAAATCTGATATTTTGTAATTTATTAAATATTAGTTTATGCAATGCAACAGAATATTATCAGTTCCATAATCATCATACCATTGATGATGATGATGATGATGATGATGATGATATTGGTATATAATACATTATGTTGATTGCAATCCAATATATGGATACGTCTCTCTGTATATATTCTAGTAAATGTTAATAATAATATTGATAATAATTCATTAAATAAATATCAATTTATATTAAAAGATCTTCGTAACACATCAAAATCACAACAATCTTTACCTTATCAATTAAATTTAATTCATCAAAGAACTATTCAAATCCCTGAACGTCAATCTTCAATACATCGTTTAAGTTATGAAGTATTATTCAATACTAAAAATATATTAGCAGTTGGGAAAGACAAACATTGCATAAGTTACGAATAGATGTAATACATGTAATTTGTTACCATTGTTTCCATTTTAAAATATACACTAAGTTAGTATCCGTTTTTTTTTCTGTTTTCTTTTGTTCGCAATTAGTGGTCATATGACAATAACAAAGTTTATAGACAATAGATCTTTAAAAAAAATTAAAAAAACGAAGTTATTTTCTTGGCACATGGTCTGTTTCCAGTTCGTTTAACATTATGTTGGTAAAAGTTTATAGAATAATTAAGATAGATAAGTGTTGGCATGTATTTTTAAGTAGTGTGGGGCCCTTTATGTTGTCGTCATTTACATAGGACGATGTTGTCGAAATGGCTCTTTACTTTAGTCGCCCAAGATCTGACTTCAAAAAGAGCGTATGAATGTATTTTATCACCTATCCGCGTATATAATGGTCGGCTTTAATCTCATTAGTCAATAACGGAATTAAATAAGTCAAATAACGAGAATGGACTTTTGAATACATATATTTTGTATGTAGAGCGAATGGAATAGAGAGAAGCGAAGCGAAGCGAAACGACGCGCGGTGGACACGGTGGGTAAACCAACTCCCATTTAACCAAGCGTCAATCAATATTTACAGTCGGATAAAAGTAAGTTACAGTTATGTGATGAATGGGATAAGAAATGTACACATATATATGCTTTCATATAAAAACAGTCAAGATTGATAAGCGAATAATTAACAAGATCAAAATATGACTCAAGTAGAATGAATTGAATGGGCTGTCCGAAAGCCAGAATAAAGTATATAGGCTTAACATATTGGGTTGAATTATTAAGAGAATCATTAAGATGTCCAATTGGATGCGGATTCAGTAGTACCGTAGGTTAAGCGTTTGCTCGCAAAACTGGTAGGTCCTGGGTTCGAGTCCCACGAGCGGGATCATAGATGCGCACTGTTCAGGAGCCAAAAAATAAGATGAAATGGCTGTTCAGTGCTCCCAAGTTTCCAGTGGCGATTTAACATCAATTGGTTTATGATCTCAATCAAAACTTAATAATCACCAAAACCCCTATACTGATCTTTAGAAAATATGTTTTTTCATTCTGTTACCTGAACTAAAACATCTTTCGTATATATATTGGCGATTAAAATATTGACTGTTATAGCAAATACATGATTCATCATAAGAGAAATGTATGAAGATCAACGGATACATTACTGCTAATATAAAGAATTCTTCAAGAGAATTCATAATGAAACAGATTTGATTACTTTCTACTTACTAGAACTATTCCAATTATATTGTAGAAATCGAAATGACTTATACTCTATGGAATTCGTTTCGTTTTCCCTGGTTTCTTTGTTCGAGAATAAATTTGATTATGATGTACCATTAGTTGTTAAGTCACCTATTAATTTTGGACAATATGGCATTTTGACAATTAAAAGTAACAAATGTTTCCATTATAACATTAAACAAAACTCAACGGCTTCAAACCCCAGAGTAGAAGGTTAATCTAACTTGTCACTCTCATTGAAGATTAAAAACGATCACACAGTCGATCAATGTGATATAGTGGCTCTGTGCTCATGGTGATTTTGATGGGGTTTTGTTTTTTGAGCTGGCGCGTTTGATCGTGGAGCTTTCATCGTTCTTCTGAACGACATCATCAGCACAAACTACAAATATAAGTGAAGTGTTCGAATTTCTCCATATGCGTTTCACAGCTTGTTCTGTACATCTCGACGTTGATTGGTTTTTATTGACCTTATCGAGTTAATAAATGATCAACACTTGTTTGTCACCAACGACTTGTCAATAAAATAGCCGGAGATTTTCTTAATGCATGAGATCATACTAACATCAGTGATTATATTGTTACCTAGACCTTTCAGTCAATTTTGTATTCTGGAAACATTAGTTGGAAAGGAGTAAAAAAAGGCAGCCTAAATAGTAACGTGGGAAAATGATCATACCAACAAAGAAGTCTCTGTTCATGAACATTATTCTTCAAGGAGATACTGTAACAAAAGTTCAGAAGATTACTTACAAGATCACTGAGAAAAAAACGCACCCTATTTGGCTCGACATCGTATTGTCGTTCCAAATCACCATATCTTTCGTAGATTTGTGAAGGATGAGCTCTTACTTTGGGTTAAATCAATGTACATTTATCAATTTACTTGCTCAGGAAGAACAGGTTGTATTAGGGAATGGTTTTAAAACTCATCTCCGAACATTATTCAAATTGGCTCTACAAAGAATTACGCAAGTCATTCAAAGACCTAGGATTTGAAGATTCTTTGGGAATATGCGCATTAAAGCGGGTAAATGTCCAATAGTTTAGTTTTCTGATACATCTGTTAATGAACGTACATGTGAATTATTAATATACATTTTCAGGTGAAATGTAAGTGATATTTGTACACAATTGTTAACATTACTTAATATCAAGTTCAATTGAGTAGGATTGTTGTTCTTTTTTAAGGTATATTACTTCACGGTTCTTTCAGTTTCCGGTTATGGTTGAATATTTAAAACTATTCAACTTTGAAGTGTTTACATTATTGTCGATTTTGTGTGGATTTAACGAATGATGATTGACAACTAATAACGTCTTAATAGTTGAATTCATTATTCAATATAAACCTGGAAGTAATTGATGTTTGTTTCACCCTAGTATAGGACTCCTCAACAATGCTCATCCACAATCCTGCACGTGGGACTCGAACACAGAACTAACGATATCTATCTCAGATAATGGATGAATTCAGACATTAACATCATTAGATACCGGTTCAATGGTCTAGAGATTAAGCGTTCGTGCGAGAAACCGAAGGTCCTGAATTCGAATCCCGTGTGACGGATCATTGACTTGCATTGTTGGAAAGTTCCATAATAAGACAAAATGGTCATCCATTAGTTCCAGGTTATCAGTGGTTGTCTATCTTAAGTCAACTCGTGAATTAAACTATTAAAATCACTACATTCTGCACAAATTCCCATTCTAATAATGACTATTAACAATAGTCAATAAATCTCAACATTGGGAAACATATATTTCTTATGTTAACATTCCATAGTTCATATTTCGTTTATTCTTATATCATCATAATATACAATACTGACTGATCGTTTAGTTGGTTACATAACCTTGTTTATACCTACTTCAAATACACATAATAGATATAGTTTTGTAATCATCTGTAATTCATAGTTTATTCATGTTTCATAACTGTCAATCATTTATCCTAATAACATACATTAGATGAATAAAAAATCTCCCTTATTATCATAGTTAAAAAATTAGTTCCCCTTTTTCATATCTTACTATACTTTATAGATATAGAAATATGGTAATGAATGGTAGACAAGTTATACTATTTGTATCTCATATATATCGTCATATTTGCCTAATTAACAGTTTAGTTGTGGAGATTGTTAAGAATTTGATTGAAATCATGAGTCAGTTGAAGCTAGACCATCATGGAAAACCTGGAAGCACTGGACAGATGTTTCATCAGAGTATTGGACACCTCAGCAGTGCGCATCCACGGTCCCGCCCCCCGCGATATTCGAACCCAGGACCTGTCAGTCTTGTGCGCGAGCGCTTAACCACTAGACCACTGAGCCAGAATCTAACGGTGTTAATGTCTAATCTCAACCAATCCACGAAATTGCGCGACCATCTTCCATTCTACTGAGGTAGACATCTATTTCTAACCGACACGAATTAGCTCCACTGGTCACGGCTTCTCACCAGAACTCCGAGAATTTTCTCACGATGCTAGTCACTAGTGAATTTAAAATGAATCCGATTGAATATATACTCTTGAAATTCATATGGTTTTCTATTTACCACATTATGTAATGTTATAATCTAACCAATAATATTTTTACTGTTATTCTAGGATAATGTGGATATTACTGAATTTAGTAGTTTAAGTAAAGAATAACCATTGTAACTAGAGTAGTACTGGATATATGTTTCGTCCTAACATGGGACTTCACAACATAACACATTCACAACCCGTTCAAGGATCAGATACAAGACTTTTATATCTTTGTATTTTCATCCAGTGGTGTAACTGTAATTAGTGATATTCGCCTTGTAACAGCTTAGGTTGATTGGTTAAGAGTTGATCTCAAACAACTAAGCATATGTCAAAACGACAGAGTTCAAGTTTTCATTCACTTTCTTATTTTGTATAGGCGTTATATTTCCTATTATCCTATATTGAATTTTGACAGGCTTTGTTTGTCTGAACAGGTAATCACACCCTTCACTGTGACTGTACGAAAATCTAAATAAAGATGTATTCACTACTAGTTTGGTTTCTTCTATCAATAGCACGAGGGTTACCTACAGGCACGAAAGCCTTATCTCTGATACAGTTGAAATCCACTGGTAACAGCTCCTCAATAAAACTCCGAAACTCCAAAAATCATGAAATTATCTTTGACTAACGATTCTCTCATAATATAAACAAATTGAAAACAATTTTCCTTGATATGAATCTCTAGTTCTTTATAAAATAGTGTTAAGATTTTTACCAATGGTTTTATTATGATATGATTAACACAATTTTTCATATCCAAAACACCTAGGAGAAATTTGAGTGGGGCTCTTCATTTTGACGTCAATTAGATCGGATTATGTTGTTCACGGGTTCACCACTTTAGTGGTCAGGGATCTGACTTCAGTTGGATCGTATGAATGATTGCTGTAGAAGCATACATTTTCACCATTCTCATTTATGTTTATCGAATTTATCCACGTTAGTAAATATAATGGAATTAAATTAGTCAAATACGAGAATAGATTTTCAAATACATATATTTTGTACACTCGTTGATCTGGGCAGACGTTCAGTGAAGAAGGCATACGAGCGAACCCCCTTTAATCAACCATCAATCAATATTTATGGTCGGATAAAAATAAGTTACAGTTATGTGATGACTAATGGGATAAGAATTGTACACACATATATGCGCTCATATAAAAACAGTCAAGATTGGAAAGTGAATAATTAACAAGGTTAATACGTG